GAAATATAGTCGCAGGGATATAAAGTACACTACAGGGAATATAGTCGGTAATATTGTAATAACTGTGTATGATGTCAAATGGGTACTAGACTCACCAGGTGATCATTTCATAAGAGTTATAAATGTCTAATCACTATGTTGTACACCCTGAAACTAATAGAATATTGTTTGTCACCTGTAATTGAAAGGTTGTTTGCTTTTTTAATTGATCTGTGTCTTGGAGTCAGAACATTTGTATATAGGAGGTTTGGAGGGGGAAGGACATGCCAAGGAGAGGCAACGGCGTGGGCAAGAGCACTCTTGGGGAGGCTGGAGAGGTGCTGTGGAAACAAAGTCATATTTGTGGTGGGATCAGCTACTGGAAGACCATAGAGGAAGCAGGACAGGTGGCTGCGACTGAGGGGCAGTGTGGAATCGTGGTAGACCCCTGTGTGCTGATGTTGGAGAATTATCCCAGAGAGTAAGGGAGTAGGCAAGGACCCGCTACTCCGCAGGCTTCAGAATCACCTCCTAAATAATTTAAGATCACAGAGACCGTGGAGGGTAAATTAAAATCGTCACATACCTTTTTTGCGGGATGCGAAAGGTTTCAAAGAGTATGATCTGTGAAGAAGGCAATCGTAAAAATGGTCTTTGTAGATGAAAACGGACATGGCCGGTTTAGCGTAAAAGAAAATGGTAATCATGACCTATAATCAGGCGAATTGCCGCCTGGGGACGGTAACTGTCCGGGCTGTCTGTCTGGGGGTGTCCATTTCACAATGAGCGGCTCTAGGCCTGAGTCTCAAAAAACAACACAGACCCTGGTATCAAGGATATTGGTGCAGCAGGAGCCGATTTCAGAGAATCACACCCGCAGGTTTCGCGGAGAATCCCCTTTGCTGGCCTGCAGGTTGGAGGCTGAACGCGCCCGTCCACGCTGCTGCCTCCTCGGGCCGCTCTTAGACCCGCAGCGCGTGGGCCGCGAAGCTGGCCGCATTTGTTCCCTGGCAAGGAACGGAGAAGGCTGGGTACGGCATGTGGGTGGGAAGGTAGGGGTGCAGCTATAAATATCTCCGAAGAACAATGGATACCATGGAAATGCTTTGGGAGCATCCCATATAACAAAGAAAGCAAGGAAGGTGGAAAAGAAGTGAATTGTCATCAAAAATAAAAAGAGAGATTGTTCTGTCCCTCTTTCTCTCCCCCGTCTCATAAATGTATTAAACACGTGCACACGCAAAGCAGTATTTGCAGTGTAGTACTAGGAAACAAAAGCAGATTGCAGAATAATATATAAAAGACAATTTGACGTTTTTACAGGTAAAAATGAAAGTGTGCAGGTGTGCACATAATCTTATACATATGTGAAGTCATAAGGGAAAAAAGCCCAGACTTGTATATATAACCCAAAGAACGCATGACAATTTAAGACACCATTAAAATTAAAAATGCTCCTTCATCTTTAGCTTATAAGTACACAAAATAATAAGACTAAGTTATAATTACTATCAATTTCCATTTACCTGGAAAGTACCTCTCAGCGTATGTTAGACTGTTAGAAAACTGTTTTGATTTTCACAAACTGCAGCTCAGTCGCCACTGGCTCAAATGATATTTCTCTGTCTGCAGAATAAAAGAGGGATCTTTCTGGGCCCATTCGGATGCTTCAGCTACCCCAAAGCCTCCTTGTGAAACAGCGACTAACTGAAGCTTAGTACACAGACCCCCAGATGTGTTGCTAGGAAATGGTGGTGCCCTCAAGTAATTACAAAAACACAAACCTCAATTAATCAGCAGCTCTTGGAGTAAGGCCCAGGCATGGGTATTTTCTTTTCAAAAAAAAAGCTCCCCAGGTGATTCTGATGTGCAGCCAACGGTAAGAACTATGGCCCTAATGGATTAATTTACAAAGGGGTCATTTGAACATGGCCTTGGAGAGAGATAAAATTAAAACAGAGAGGATTTGTTTGACCAAGGCCAAGTGGATGCATGGCCTTCAGCCTTGTGAAAAAATGATTATGCAAACAGAATAAAAGAACATGGAGAGAGGGGTAGGCAGTTCTTACAAAAGATACTGAGGTCAGTGGGTAGCCCTCTCTCAAGCTCATGGGTCAGAGACTGTGCAGACATTTCAAGCTGGGAAAATGTTCAGTGCTAGCAGTTGGCTGACAGGATACTGGTATTTCACAGAATACAGCAGGACCCAATTTTGATGCTGATGCTAGGGGACTAAAGCTTTCTTGGGCACCAGAGGCTTCCAGGCTTTCCCATGAGAGGATGCACAGTGAGAGCACAACAAATTCCGTGGAAGAGCAGAGGTCCTTTGAACAATTTTTGCTCTGCTCTAAGAAATCATGTCAAATGGATTTCAAATGGAATGCCATTGGTTGTTATTCTGCTGACTTACAGTGGGTGAAAGCCAGGGAGCCCACAGGGGTCTTCTGGTCCCTGCCCTTTTTTATCCATATCAGGAAACTGAAGTTTTGACTCGATCTCATAAAGCAGAGGCCAGGACTAGACACAAGAGCCTTAACTCCCTTTCCAGCACCCCGAAATGCACTGGAATTTGGCGTTGTGACTCATCTCCAATGGTCATGGTTATTGTTTTTTACTCTGAACAAGTGATGATGATCCTGTTTATAACGTGTTGAAATGCTAATATTAGTTATTAGCTGCCATTTATTGATGTTTAACATGTGCCAGCCCTGTGCTGCCCCCTTCACATTCATCATGTTTAGACCCAGCTCCAGTCTTCAGGGAAATTATCATTCCCACTTTACTTTGGAGAAGGGCACTGAGATCATGAAGATGGAATACAAACAATTCAAGATTGCAATCCTGTCCTACCTCTGAGCTGCTAATCGTGATGGCACTAGCACTGGGTCAGAGGGGAAATGCCCCACTCCTTGTCCTGTGTCCCCTTGTGACCCGAATTCTGTCTCGGGACCTTAGCCTTGGGCTTGTCAGCCTCAGTCCCTCTTTGTCCTTCAGCGCTGTGCCCAATGCTATCACCCAAGTTTTTCACAGCCTGGCTGTATTCGATTTATTTTTCTGGGGAGTAGTTCATATATATCACCCACTTTTAATGGAGTTTCATTTTGCTACCTGGTGTAATCGCCATTCCTGTGGTTTAGAAGGAAGATAATACAGTTAAGCTCAGCCAGGGTTCTAAACAGATGTTCTGCGTGTCTCTCTCTGTAGTCCTAGTAATGCATCACTTTAGATGGCTCAGCCTCGGCCTGCCAGCATCGCTGTGTCCATGCCAAATGCTGTCAGACAGCATGCAATAAGCAAAAACGGAAGCGAGGCTCAGACCCCACAGTCGTTTTATTCTAACTCCTGAGTGCATTAGCATCTGGGCTTCAGGAGGTGTCACCTGTTCCCAGGAAAGCTAGTGGCATTGATTTTATGTGGTAACTGGAATGCGAGTATTGTCCTGTTTCAAGAAACCCGACTATATAAAAATCGGAATGTGATCATATCAACTCAAACAAATTATTATCTCTTATGAGGATTTTTTCATTTAAAGAAAGATTTGCCAGAAGTTACCATTTACCCGTTAACTTTCCCCATATATTGAAGAAAAGAAAATGGTGGCCCATTTGCAAGAGTGTGATTTATGTGCAACTTTTAACAGCTACTCCCTTAACAAATCAGATGGCAAAACACACAAGAGATGTACTTAAATCACACTGCAAGGGGTTTCTGTCAAAACCAGTATTAAGTGAAGGACTGGGTTAGGGTAAGAGAATTCCCTGAAGGATTCAGCATATAGCTGCGTCTGTCTGCCTGGGAGGGCTTATGGTGCAGTTAGTCAGATGATATTTATGAAGTTCTCAAGTGTGTACTGGACTAGAGTTGATTCAGTTCAAAACATAATCCAAAATGACAGCGTCTCAGCCTGCTTGGTTCGCCTTCAGGCAAAGGGAGGAAGGGAGCTGCACAAGGTGACCTGTCAAGGTCCCCCTGGCGACAGTGTGATTCTGTGACCGCCTGGCAGCAACCTTAGTGCTTGTAGTCTGACGCTATTCCATCTGAGTCCTTGATGGAGCTAATAAGAGGGTGACTCACCATGCAAATCTTCTGGAACTTGGCATTGGCATCTGAAGTGGGTGCTTCCCAGGTTTCTGCACTGCAAGGGAGACGATGGCCTGGGACAGGACCAGGCAGGGGGAATGGGGAGTGGTCAAGCTGTGGTATAAAACAAAGTCAGTCCCAGACGCCAAGTCTAACAGTGATTTACAAGATGATTGCAGGATTATTCGGTGATGGGAGACGGGGCTGGAGAGGGTGGATGCAGGGCAATGGGGAGAATTAAGAATATATCTCACTTGAGCTCTGGCTCCTACAGTCCTGCATAAGTACAAGGCTGAATGTCTTTTCTTTGTACCCACCTCATCTAACTGCTGCACTGTTCAACACCATGGGTATAAAATGACACTTTTCCATTAAAAGAAATTATACACATTTCAACAACTAATAGAGATATGAAACAAAAAAGTGTGATTTCTTAAAATCAAACTTCCAACATGCTCGTAACACTGCCTGCATATACAATAAGAATGATAAACAACGTAGCTTGGAACTTTTTATCCAGTCCATGATAACTGCAGACTAATGCAGGATCCCTTTCAATATTTACCCACTGGTTCATTTCTCTATCATCATATAGAGTGAAATAGCATCCCTCACCTGAGCCATCTTCCGGCTCCGTAGAAAAAGGGACAGGCTGCAAGCTCGCTGCTCTCACCATGCTGATAAGAATCTAGCAAATGCAACAGAAAGAAACTCTAGTGAGCCCGAGGGAAAATAAAGGGATGAGGCAATCATCTTAACAAATACTGAAAGACAGAAAAATAAAAAATTAGAATGAAAAGGAAAAATACGGACAACATAATCCATATTGTCTGTAAAAATAGAGAAAGTGTTTCATTTATAAAGGTAAAGTGATATAGGAAGTATATCTGCTCCATGTAAATTTATTAAATGCAACTTTTTTTTCTCTTTCTTTCTTTTAGATAAAAAACCTCTTCATGAAATAAAACCCCAAAGTAAGTTATTTTTCCTCTTGTGAATATAATTTATTCTCATATCTACTGCCTTACTACTGTATCTGCTTAGGAGCCAAAGAGAACTGAAGTTTGTGCAAAAGATCCTGGGCTTTGGGGGCTTCTGCTCCTTGGGTTTGGAGTCACATAGCAGAAGTTTAAATAAGAAAGCAATGTGCACACCCCTCCCCTCCCTCAGAATAAAAGTAAATCTCTCCTCTTGATTCCTCCTGCCTATAAGTCCATTTCTCTGCAAATGTCATCCAGAATTCTTATTCTGAGGAGATTTACAGCATTACAATTAGTAAATATTTGTCAATACATACTTTCATGAAAAGCAACTTCGGACAAAAGCCGGACTACACACCTCTCTCCACCTAGGAGGAGATGCAAACTGTGAAATCCATGGCAATGGGTAAATGAGGAACTATTCCACAGTCAGACTATCAGAGGCTGGAAATTTGAGGGCGGTGCTGGCTCCAGCTCTCCAATGGAGGCGTTGCTTCCTGGAGAGGCCTTTGTGTTATCTCCCTCTTATGCAGCTGGTAGATTTGGGGAATGGAGCAGAGATTGGATGAGTGGCAGCTCAGCATTCGACCCTATGATTCTCAGTCTGGACTGAACTTGAGGCTCTTAAAAGCCCAATACCTAGACTATACTTCAAACCAGTGAAATCAGAAAGGGGGGTAGTTACAACCCAATAATCTCTAGTTTTGTTTTGTTTTTAAAATATTTTTATTGTTTTCTAGAGAGAGAGGAAGGGAGAGGGAGAGGGAGAGAGAGAGAAACGTCAATCGGCTGCCTCCTGCACTCCCCCTAACCAGGAATCGAGCCCGCAACCCAGGCTTGTGCCCTGACAGGGAATGGAACTCGCAACCTTTCGGTGCACAGGACAACGACCAGCCAACTGAACCACACCAACCAGGGCAATAATCTCTAGTTTTAAAAGCTCCCCAGGTGATTCCAGTTTGCGTCTGGGCTTGAGAACTGCTGTCTTAGAAAAATATCTCTCACAAGGTGGATCAGTGACTGCGTGCGTGAGAATCTTGGGCTGTGGCAGGAGCTTGTTAAATATGCCCCACCTCAGAAGAGAACGAATGAATTGGAGTCCCTGGTACAGGGCGAGGGGAGCCTGAGAATCTACATTGTAATGTGTTCCCTAAATGAGTCTCCAGTACCCAGAAGTATGTAAAGCATACTCGGGACCACAGGGCGTCAGCAGCACAGCTCTTAGCAGTAGGGGAGTGAGGGAACGGCCTGGCAGGTTCGGTCTGTAAATCTTGCGGAAGATGTCCCTGGCCAGTATTGTCCACTTGAGTATAAAATGAATGGTTTTTGATCTTTTAAATCTTAAGGTATTAAAATTCAAATAGCTTTTGCAAGTTAATAGCTCTTATTAGCCACCTTCTTTGAAAGAATTAAGACCTTGTGAAGATAGACAGAAATGGGTACCTTGGGACAGTGGTCAGGAGACATGAGAGAAAGATCCAGTAAAGCTATTTATGTTCATAGAGTATGATGCTGCTTCAGTCATAAAGAGGCCAATGCTTGCAGAGTCTGAGATCTCTGCAAACAACTAGAGCGAACATTCTTAACTTCTAGTCCATGCTGTCTGCTGCCCATAAAGTAATTGTTGGTACTTTGGTAGCAACCCTCTGACATCACGTGTGCTTGATTTTGAGCTCACAGGAGAATTGGAGGTGGGAAAACCTGATCGTGTATGCGTAGTTGTGTGTCAGTGTCTGTGCATGTTGAGGGAGGGAGAATACAAACAGGTTGCTGCATATTTGGCTGGTTCCTGAGTCAAGACCTCAGGGTAATAGCTGCCTCCTGCTCACAGAGCACATGACGACCGCCAGCTCTGGAGTGCAGCACAAATAAAATCATGGGTATCCATCCATGTGGCGGCCCATGTGAGAGTTATTTAGAAATGCATGTGTGTTTTTTAAAAATTAATTTCATGCTTAGTTTGTGAGTCCCGCGCCATTCTAATTTGGTTACATCTGTACTTCCAGCCGTAAACCCCATAGTAGCTATTCCTAGTCCTCGGGGACTCCTGAATTCGTTTTTGCTTGGGGTCCTCGCTCCTGAACACCAAGCTTAATTGCTGGATACTGCAGCTGAATCGCTTAAACTATTTTAATTTGTCATTTCCTAAAAATAAAACCTTACCAGAATCAGTGTGATTGCAAAGGGCTCCCAAAGGAATCTGGTCGGGGTTCTGCACGCTGCATGGTTAGGAGAGCATTATACAAATTCCGGCTGCTCAGTGAAAGAGGGGCTCGGCTGAAGAGTGCATGAATCATCACTGATGCAAAATCAAAGTCAATTATGAAGATAATTGAGAAACAACCTGTTCCTATATATAGCTGTGCACATGATCCTTCGCAAGGCCTGACAGAAAACATCGCTCAGAGCCTCGCACGCAGTCCTGTGAGCAGGTGGACTGAGGAGCCAGCTTTGAGTTGCAGGGAGGTGTAAAAAGTTAGTGAAGTCTTTGCAAAAAAAGAAAAAACAACAAACAAACAGATACGGACAACAGTATGGTGACTGCCAGAGGCAGAGGGAAAGGGGGGAAAGTAGAAGAGAGCAAAGGGGGATAAATGGTGGTGGGAAGAGACTTGACTTTGGGTGGCGAGTGCACAGTGCAATATGCAGATGATGTTTTGTTGAGTTGTACACTTGAAACCTATATGGTTTGATGAACCAATGTCACCCCAATACATTCAATAAAAAAAAGAAAGTGAAGTCTTCAGGTATCTGTTGGCAAATCATAATGACAAACTGGGGGAAATATGTGCAGTGCATAGCTCATGAAAGCACTTATTGTAAATGAGATAATTTAATCAATTACGTTTCCTAATGTACTAAACTGAATGTTTCATTTTCTGCTTCTGCACATCTTAAATTATCTTCAGGTGCTTTATGAGATTTAATCATAGTTAATAGAAACTTCATTACCATCAAATGTGCTTTCAATAAATGTTGTGTAACAATGTCAGGAGGTGCAGTAAAATATAGTAGGCTCTGAATGGCAAACATGCACCCCCAGAGTCAGACAGCAAAAAAGGTTGAGTTCAGACAATGAGATTCCTTAGAGCCTTGAGGATGTGGCTTCCTGAGAGGCTGTGAGCTCCTGAGCAGTGACTAGTTTAGCAAGTTCACCTTAGGGGTGAAAAGAATTTAGCTTCCCCTTAGAAAATAGCTCAGAACCACAGATTCTATCTTCATCAGCTTGCCACAGAGTTGGTTGTACAAAGCAGAGTAGGTATGAAAACAGTGAATAGTTCTAGAGACAGCTACCTCCAGTCATCTGAATATCTCTACGTTTTCAAAATTGAATTTATCCTTGCTTGTTCCTGTTCTGAATTCAGCCCCACTCCCATCTTCTTGAGTTCTCTGAATACTAGTTTAGCAACTCAGTTGTCTAGGTCAGAAACTTGGACAGCCTTCTAGACTCCTCTATTTTCCCCCCTCCCATCTTCTGTGCAGTATAATCTGACTGTTCCACCACTTAAAGAGATTTCAGGTTCATCAACTTTATTCTGTTTTCATCCTACTCATATACATTGCTCCACTCTCCACTCAATAAACAGCAGTTTATGGAGTGCTTACCCTGGCCTAGGAAACGTTTTAGGTGGTGGAGAGTCCGCACTGAGCACAGCAGATACAATTTCTGCTTCCAGGAAGCTCATAATTTTAGTGAGGGGAGATGGAAACAAACAATCCAGAAAATATATAGTGCTAAGGCGCGGTGGAGTTGGTGGTAAGTGTTGTGAAGAGAAACAAAGCAGGGGAAGGGGCTCAGGGAAGGTTGGCAGGAGTGTTGCTTTTTTGTTTATCAGGTATTCAGGGAAGTTCTCTGTGACAAAATTACATTTAAATAGAGACCTGAAGGAAAGCAAAGAAAGAAACATCTGTATACCTCGGGGAAGAGCCTTCCAGGCAAAGGGAACAGCAGGATGTAAAGGCTGTGAGGTGGGAGCTTGCTTGGACTGTCTGAGGAACATCAAGAAGGCCAAGATGTTTGGAGCAGAGTGGCAAAGGGAGGAGTCACCATAACAAAGCTCAGAGATGCGGGGCAAGGGGGGAATGCGGGGCAAGGTCATTGTAATGACTTTGACCTTTACTCTGAGCAAGATGGAAAGCCTTTGAGGATTTTTTATTCATGGGGACTTGACCAAATATTTTTAAGGATAAACTGTTATTGCTGTGTTGAGTGTAAACATGTAGGGAATGAGAGCAGAAGCAAGGAGACCTCTTAGGATGGTCTGTTGTAACAATAATCTATTACAGTCATCTAGGCATTTACAGTATCTAGATTCAAGATGATGGTGGCTTGAAATTGTAAAAACAGGTCATATTCTGCATATCTTTTGAAGGCAGAGTCAAAAAGGATTTGCTGATGGATTGGATAGAGAGTTTGAGAGAAAGAAAAGAATTAGGTTGAGGGAAAGAGTTTTCAGGCAGAAGTAACAGAACGTATAAGGTATTCTATGCCCAAATGGGTTATGGATGATTACAAAATTTTAGCTACGCAACTACAAGATAGAGTTGTCATTATTAACAAGGGGAAAACTTGGTATAGCAAATTCGGTAGAATCAAGAGTTCAGCATTACAAATGATAAGTTTGAGATACCTATTAAACATAAAATGGAGAGGTTGCGTGGGCATGTTGAATATATGAGTCTACAGGTCAGAGGAGAGTCCTGGCTGGTGACATAAATCGGGGGCTTGTCAGTGTCCCGATGATATTTAAAGCCATTAGTTTGAATGAGATCACTAGATAATGAGTGTGAATAGAGAAGGGAAGAGATCTGAGGACTAAGCCCTGAAGGACATCGACATTTAGATACAGAAGAGGGCAGAAGTCACTGCAAAGGAAACAAAAATGTAACAGCCAGCATAGTAAGACAAAAACCAAATGATAAGAAAATGGTGTCCCAGATAACTTGAAAAGTTCAGGTGATCTTCATTCCTAACCATGATTTGTGCAATTTCC